AATGGATGGATGGATGAATGGATGGATGGATGAATGGATGGATGGATGCATGGATGGATGAATAGTTGGATGGATGGATGGATGAAAAGAGGAACGTGTGCAGATCTACAGAACAGTTGCACACTGTGCCATTAGAACAATCTGATCCAGTAATCTCTATGAAATGACAACAGGAAGTGATGTGGCTTTAGTGCTCAGCAGTGTTTGCTAACATGCTACCTATAACGTTTCCATGGTGATAACCTCACTCTTGCTCAACACAGTCAGCAGCACATTTTGCATGCACGCGCACCAGTGTGGCACAAACGCACCGCAGCATGCTGCCGGGTCGGCTGGTGCCTTTTAGCTGTCTGCTGGATTTCACTTCACTGTTTTTACGACCTTGGCTCTCATTTTCCACCAGAGTATTATGTTCAGTCTGTCTTTCCTTGGAAAGCTCCATATGTGAGTGTCTAGTCTCTAATGTAGCCCGTTCCCTTCATTATCCACATCATTTCTTGCCCCATATGTGACTGATAGACATGTATTAGACAGGTATCAGGTATAGACAGGACCTGTGTTTGCAGACTGAACACAGATGACATGCACAGGTTCATAAGGTNCACACACACACACACACACACACACACACACACACACACACACACACACACACACACACACACACACACACACACACACACACAGATAAAGCCCACGCTGTCTAGCTGAGATTATCTCATCTCCATCTGCTTGCTGTGGTTCTGTAATAGGCTGCTCCTGCTCGTTTCTGCCTCTTTTACTCCAAACTAGCTTAAAATAATCAACATTATTGACGGTAGACACACAGGCCAGATTGGACACGCAGTTCAAATCCAAATCTCTTCATTCTGCACCTACTTTAATCCATTTTTAGATTTTCGCTCTGGCCCACATTTGATGTAACGCTCGAGCCGTGCTGCTCTCAGACTCAGACTTGCACCTGTGCGCGCCTACACCTGCGTCAAAACACACATAGTGTCAGAGCCGTGTGTGTGTTCATATATATCTGTGTTAATTACGGGACTCAGAGGTTTCGTAAAGGGAATGTGTTGTCATGTGTGTGTGTTTTTTTTTCCTTCAGGCACGACAACAAGCTCAGATGAGGCACCAGATGGCTTCGGACAGTAAGGGCGATTACTCCTCCTACCTGCAGAAGTTCAACCAGGAGCAGAATGAACATTACTACACAGTTATTCCTAACATATTTCAGGTAAACACAGCAGAATAAAAACCTGGCTCCTTCCGTCGGACTCCCTGCACCACCGAGTAGTGCTCGAGCTAATGTTAACGGGATTATTCCTTCTCTGTGTCACAGAAACTTCAGGACATGGAGGAGAAACGGATTGAGAGAGTGGGGGTCTGCATGAAGACGTTCGCAGATGTGGACCGGCAAGTGCTGCCCATCGTGGGGAAGTGTTTAGATGGCATGACTACAGCAGCTGAGGCCATCGAGCCCAAGACTGTGAGTTTACACACACAAGTCTGCAAACACACATACACACACATGCCATATGGGATGCATTACTCACTAAAACAGGCTGTCAGTTGCAGCCCACACAGGGTCAGTGAAGGCGCTTGTCAAAGAAACTGGGGCAGGAGTAGAATGGGAGTCTGGACTGGGTGGGGGGTTGAAATAAAAGCAACCCACCCGTGAACAATGAAGTGGTCTCTGACTCTGAAAGTTTTTTATTATTATTTAAAATAAGATAAAGTTAGAGGACTGGGTCGTTTCTGGCTTTAAACATTTTATCAAAGTCCTCAAAACACATTCTGAATCATAAAGTTTCTGTATTTCAATGAAAAATTCATTAAAGCACTTCCAAAACACTGCCAGGTCTTTTTGTTGTGACATGATGGAAGACAGAGTTTTCTGACAGTATTTTTTTGTAGTACAGATAAGGTACCCAGATCTGTTCAAATACAGTAGTTTTATTTTATCTTTTTAAACTAAAACCAGAGGTGGGTAACAGCTAGTTACATTTACTCAGTTACATTTACTTGAGTAACCTTTTTTGGGGGAAAAAAGGAAATAATTTCACTACAGTGTACTTTTTATTTTACTTGAGTAATATTATTGCGAAATATCACTTCTACTACTTTAGTAAAATTTCAGAATACTTTACCCACCGTTAGTATCGTCACTGAATGAAGAACAAAGGTTTTAAACAGAAGTGCACCAAATAAACACATACAGTTTCTGTTGAAGTGAGACCTATTTTTATATAAATTTGACTCTAAAAAAATGTTTCTTCGGCTGGAATTTGTTGTTTTGTAGTTATGTTATTTGTTTGTCTCCATTTTCTTTGTTTCGGTCTACACTGCAAAAACTGTCCACCTAACCAAGTTTTAAAATCTTATATCAGCCAAAAAGTCTTTTTGATCTTGTTTTGAGACTGATTTACTAAACAAGAACTGATTGTTTAAGAATATTAATCTTGTTTTCAGAATGTGTAAGATTATTTGTCTTGTTAGTCTGAAAATTTGACTCAAATTAAGTCAAAACTTTCTGCCAATGGAGTGAGACAATTTTACTTGGCAAAATTCTTGAAATACTTGATTTGACTCAGTTTTTTCTTATTTCAGGAATCTTACCAAGTAAAATTTTCTTACTCCATTGGCAGAAAGTTTTGACTTAATTTGAGTCAAATTTTCAGACTAACAAGACAAATAATCTTACACATTCTGAAAACAAGATTATTATTCTTACACAATCAATTCTTGTTTAGTAAATCAGTCTCAAAACAAGATCAAAAAGACTTTTTGGCTGATGTAAGATTTTAAAACTTGGTTAGGTGGATATTTTTTGCAGTGTAAAAACACCAGGATTTACACAAAACTTTCTAATGGTCAGTCTGATGACATCATTTGAAAATGTTAAATCAGATGTTACGACTATTCAGTCAGCACTCAAGTATCCTCTTTACAAAATACTTTTTTCTCTTACTTGACCAATTTCTTGGATTGCAAATTTTTACTTTTACTTGAGTAAAAATGTACTGAAGTAGTGCTACTCTTACTTGAGTACAACTTTGCGTGCTCTACCCACCTCTGACTAAAACTAAAAGTAATATTTCCTCATTTCCATTTCTGTGCTGAAAAAAAAAACAGAGCAGTGGAAATAAAAATCAGGATTATGTGACTGGATCACAATGATCATAATATAAGATTATGTAGTGTTATGTATTGTCAACAATGCAGTGATTCCCATGCAGTGATGAGATTTGCGCTCTACATTTGAGCCATGACACGTGGGACACACCCAAGTGTGTCTCAGAATCCTAAATGTTTTAACCATTTCCCTGCTTTGGCACACCTGATTTAAATGAATAAGTGATTGACAAGCTTCTGCAGAACTTATAGACCTGCAGAAGAGATGGGAAACAACTAAAACAAACAGGAGAGTGGGCCACGAGGACCAGAATTAAGAACCAACACTCTCACTCCACATCATCACCTATTGCTCAATGTAGACATGCAGCTCAGTGTAAATCAGATCAGACCTGTCAGGGGTCTGCATGTGGACCATATTTACTTTGAAATCAGATTATTCCTTCTGTGTGCCGGACTCATTTTATGGTAGGTTCATATAGTCTGGTGTTGAAGTCGTTACACTTCATTGAAGCACAAATCCAGCTGTTGACTCCAGTTTTGGCGTTGCTCTTTATTAGTTAAACCCTGAAATAGAAGACAGCCTGTGTTCAAAAGAAAGTGATATATCAGGATGTCATGTGCTGGTGGCCTGCTGGATGATAAAAAACAAGGCTGTCCCCAAAGATCACATCATGTGTTCACAGCACAGCTCCGGGGAGATGACTCCCGTCTGTCTGCTGCAGTAAACAACAACTGGGATCGACCTATCACACGCTTCCTCCTGTCTCTGCCTCTCCTCCACTCTTATCCTTCATACTGTATAAGGAGAGCGCAGCAGCGGATCTTTAACCTTTCATCCAAGCTCCAACCAGGCCCTCCTCGCAGTTCAGATTGCTTTCATTAAATGTGCAAGCGTTTTAGAAACAACTTAAAAAATACATCTGCACAGTGGATACAAAAATTCTGCGCTTTCTCTTAAAATATCAGGTGTTGTGGCCATTTATGTAAGAAATGTAGTAAAAATTATATATATTTTTTAACTTTAGGCAGTTAGAATGTATGGAGCCCGCGAGGGGACACGGGGATTTTTTTCTTTTGCGTTCCCAAACAATACCTTTGCGTTTCCTCGCAATACTTTTGCGTTACCTCGCAATACCTTTGTGTTTCCTCACAATGGGCCTCATACAAGAACATGTTCATATTTTTATCCTAAATTTCTCTTACTTTTGTTCGTACAAAGGGTTCGTACGAACATGTCATGTCAGATTCAACAAACACTTCTATCTTCAGGAAAAGTGCGTAAATGAGCTGCGTAAATTACACCTGTTCGTATCCAGCTGCTCGTGCACGCGAGAGGAGATTAGCATAATTACCACCCCAAATACACTCACCGGCCACTTTATTAGGTACACCACGCTAGTAACGGGTTGGACCCCCTTTTGCCTTCAGAAC